CTGGAGTCCCAAAGCCTTAGAAATGGCTTTATAACCCTTTCCAGACTGATACATGTCAACTGTTTTGATTCTCATCTGTTCTTGAATTTCTTTAGATCGTGGCATAATGTGTTGCCATTTAAGCATGCTTCACTTTATCAGACAGCTTCTATTTAAGTGATTTCTTGATTCAACAGGTCTGGCAGTAATCAGGCCTGGGTGTGGCTAGTGAAATTTAACTCAGCTTTCTAAAATAATGTGGTTAATCGCAGTTCTTTCATGATTTAACAGGAGGGGGCAATTCATTTTTCACGTAGGGCCACGTAGGTTTGGACAGCTTTTTTCCCTTAATAAATTAAATCGTAATTTAAAAACTGCATTTTGCATTTACTTGCATTATCTTTGTGTAATATTTAAATTTGTTTGATGATCTGAAACATTAAAGTGTGACAAACATGCAAAAAAAAATAAATAAATCAGGAAGGGGGCCAACACTTTTTCACACCACTGTATATATAAAATTTTAAACCCTACAAATGAATTTAGTTATCAAAACATTATGTTAGTATCAAACACTGGCATTCATTTTGAGATTTGCTAAAGATGATATTTAACAGTGTCACTTAATTGTGCGCGTTGTAATTAATTATTAAATTATTGGTGTTTTTAAAGATTAATATTAAGTGTCCCTTAGATGAGTGAAAGGTAATTTCAAAATCAAAAGGTAATAAAAATAAACAAAAATAAGAATGTACAATTACATTATGAATATCAACCAAAACAAACAATGATAAAAAAAACCCTCTAATATCAGTCAATCAATGCAGTGGCGATATATATTGTGCATCCCTAAAGAAATAATTTTAAATTCTGCACTATTTTTAGGTCACTAATCAAATAAGACAATTTGTGACACTGATCATGTGATTCTTCGTATAGTCAGTCAGACTTCCACTGAAGCTCAAAATATTCTTTATATAATCTCAAATCATACTGGAGAACATGATCATCATGTTCCACACAAACTTGTGGAGTTCATACAGCTCAAGTGCTGCAAAAGGAAAACAAACCAAATACTCAATTCAACTTTTCAATCAAAATGTTCTATAATACATTTTATAATGAAAAAAATTGTATTTAAAATAAAGTAGAAGCATTTTTACCAGTGGTCTCAGACTGTATATATTGGCTAAGAAATCGTTTGATTGCTTCCAGCCTGAAAGCCATTTAAGTCAATACTGCAATAAATATTCCCCCACTCTGAGCTACAGCCACGTGGAAGAGAAAAAAATGATTCCCAATCAAGGCAAGCTGCTCTCTAATCTGTGAGAGAGACTCTCATACAGAACAGTAATTAAAGGTCCAGAATGGCTCTCTGTTGGGCTGGAGACAGCGTAGGCTCTCCAATGGGGGTTGAGAAACAACACTTCAGCGTTGGCAGCAATGTCAGTCATATTTTTACTCTGTCAAAGACGACAGCAGGGATCCAAAACTTGGACAGTGTATCATATCTCTGGAAAGAGCTGTTCAGAGAGGGAGGGAGGTGTGTGCATGTTTCAAAGCAACTAAGGCTTCCGACACTTTACTTTTACTCTGGCTGTAGTCACGCAAACTAGGAATGAGTCAAATGGGTAAAGACAGAGGCGTCCAAATTCCTGTGCTACGATCACACACAGACTCACTTAGATGCACGCTGTGGTTTTGTGAACCGAAAATAGTTGTAATAATTATGGACTAACTTGGTATGCTGAAAAGAACAGAACAATGTGGGAAAACACATTTAGACAACAAAGTCAACTCAGAACTTTACACAAGTCTTTAAAACAAGAGAATGCGATTGAAGTTCCCTTTTCCTCAAAGCCATTATTAAGTTTACTAATAAAGTTCTCCAACTAAAAATAATGTTGTAACCCTAACACACACATATATATATATACATATATATATATATACATACACACACACACACATACATATTCAAATATACATAAATACACACACACACACACACATATATATATATATATATACACACACACACACACACACACACACACACACACACAGATCCAACTTACCGTTACACACGTATTTTCATTCTCAACTGTTTATGTTCATTTATTACATGACCGAAGAAGGTTTTGTGAATAACCACTAAGCGCCGCATATTGACACATTTTTGTGTGTATTTGACCATTTAGGCTTGCACCTTGAGCTAAATGATGACTTTACATGTCCATGTTGTGTTCCGTCTCTGAGCAAGTTCTCTTTTGCACTTTTAAAAACATGAATACATCTAATACACTTCAATAAATCAAGCACATCCCATTTTGCAAAAGTCACGTTCCATGATTACACTGATTTGCATGTGAAATTGGGGTTTTATGGAGGAGCGAAAGCGCACGGCTGGAAAGGGGGGTGGAATAGGGAGCAATAATCGTTTTATCTTGATTATTGTATTTTCATAATCATTGTTGTATTTTCATAATCGTTCTGTTTTTCGATTAATTGCACAGCCCTACTTTCTGCTCAACAAGCCTGCATTTATTTGATCCAAAATTACTAAGCGCCGCATATTGACACATTTTTGTGTGTATTTGACCATTTAGGCTTGCACCTTGAGCTAAATGATGACTTTACATGTCCATGTTGTGTTCCGTCTCTGAGCGAGTTCTCTTTTGCACTTTTAAAAACATGAATACATCTAATACACTTCAATAAATCAAGCACATCCCATTTTGCAAAAGTCACGTTCCATGATTACACTGATTTGCATGTGAAATTGGGGTTTTATGGAGGAGCGAAAGCGCACGGCTGGAAAGGGGGGCGGAATAGGGAGCAATAATCGTTTTATCTTGATTATTGTATTTTCATAATCATTGTTGTATTTTCATAATTCTGTTTTTCGATTAATTGCACAGCCCTACTTTCTGCTCAACAAGCCTGCATTTATTTGATCCAAAATACAGCAAAAGAAAAATATTTGTACGATTTAAAATAACTGCTTTCTTTTTGAATATACGTTAAAATGCAATTTATTCCTGTGATCAAAGCTAAATTTTCAGCATCACTTTAGAAATTAATACTTTTATTTAGCAAGGATCCTTTAAATTGATCAAAAGTGATGATTAACTGTTTTTGCTGTACTTTGGATCAAATAAATGCAGGCTTGGTGACCAGAAGAGAATACTTTAGAAATTAATACTTTTATTTAGCAAGGATCCTTTAAATTGATCAAAAGTGATGATTAACTGTTTTTGCTGTACTTTGGATCAAATAAATGCAGGCTTGGTGACCAGAAGAGAATACTTTAGAAATTAATACTTTTATTTAGCAAGGATCCTTTAAATTGATCAAAAGTGATGATTAACTGTTTTTGCTGTACTTTGGATCAAATAAATGCAGGCTTGGTGACCAGAAGAGAATACTTTAGAAATTAATACTTTTATTTAGCAAGGATCCTTTAAATTGATCAAAAGTGATGATTAACTGTTTTTGCTGTACTTTGGATCAAATAAATGCAGGCTTGGTGACCAGAAGAGAATTATTTAAAAAAACATTAAAAATCTTACTGTTCAAAAACATTTGACTAGTGGTGTATACAAAATCAACAACATGCAAATGTAAGATGTATTTAACCAGGACTAAATAATACATTAAGAACTAATTATTTGACTTAGGAACAACCACTTCCATAGGACTAAGACATTAATTTACCTCCGTTTTCCGACAGCTTTCCCCGATAGATCTTGTCTTCAACCACATCGGTCCAGTAGAGGGCACTCTGGTTGAGGTGGAAATCCAGGGCAATGGTGTTACGCAGGCCAGGCACCAGCACGCTGAACTCGCCCTTGTACAAGTCAATCCGACGGATCTCATGCCGGTTGGAGAAAATGATGAAGGGCTTGAAAGGATCTAAAGAACATGGACAAGGCACATAAGTCCAGCACCCTGCTAATCCTTAATTTTGGTTTTACTCCATAAAGTCACTAGACTTTAATATATAATATAATATAATATAATATAATATAAAATTCCAGCAAAAACAACAATATTGTGACATTTTGTTACCTAGATATATTTAAAAAAAAAAAAATAATTTAAATGTACTGTACATCTCATCAAGGGGTCTGGTAAAACTGAAATATTCTTGGTATCTTTATTCATCCTGTCCTCCACCCCGTCTTTCCCTCACCAGTGCTCTTGCAGCTCTCGCCGTCTGGCCCATAATATAATATAATATAATATAAAATTCCAGCAAAAACAACAATATTGTGACATTTTGTTACCTAGATATATTTAAAAAAAAAAAAATTATATACAGTGTACTGTACATCTCATCAAGGGGTCTGGTAAAACTGAAATATTCTTGGTATCTTTATTCATCCTGTCCTCCACCCCGTCTTTCCCTCACCAGTGCTCTTGCAGCTCTCGCCGTCTGGCCCGAGCGCCCAGCCTTCATAGCAGGCACACTTAACAGTGGCCTTCTCCTGCATGCAGCGCTGGCTGCACTTGAGATGCTTGGCGCAGAAGCTCTGAATCTGACAGGTCTTGTTGTCAGTACCCAGCTCCATGCCAACTGGGCAGGAGCACAGGATGCCCTCACCAGGAGCAATGGTACAGTTGTGGCTGCATCCTCCATTATCCATCGTGCAAAGATCTAGAATGAAAACAGGTAAAAAAAGAAGCAAGTGGGATTGAAAAGTTGTTTATGAGTAAGTTGCTGCAAGTCTGTCAAAAAAATAAATAAACAAGAGTTTGAGAGAATGTGCTTATTTCATTTGAATTCAAGCCTGAAATATTTTTGTGTCATGCTAATGGGAAACACAAGTTGAGTTTGCATGCTCTGCGCAAACTGTGAAATATTTAAAGGAATAGTCAATAGTAAAGTTTCATCACGCAATAATGAAACTTTAGTCATTATTCATTCACTCTCAAGGCATTCATCCATGGAGCACACAAGATCTACTGGCCGTCAAGCTCCACAAAAAGACCAAAATAAATAAAATCATACAGAAAATGTAGCCCATATGACTTGTGGGTTATATTCTGAAGTCACATGGACTACTTTTATTGTGCTTTTTGGAGTTTGACAGATCATGGTCACTTATTTACTATAGATAGTCATTACATGAAAACAATTCACACTATCATTAAAAAGTTTGGGGCCAGTAAGTTGTGTTAATGATTTAATGTTTTATGCTTAATACCAATTCTACATATATGTGAATACAGTAAAAACAGTAACAGTGAAATTACAATTTAAAATAACTCTTTGCTATTTTAATATTTTTTAAATATAATTTTATTACTCCAGTCTTCAGTGTCACACAGTTCTTTCAACAGTCATTCTAATATGTCGATATGATGGTAAAGAAACTTTTCTTATAATTATAAATGCTGACTGTTTAATTATTGCTGACTCTTATAATTATGAATGCTGACTGCTTTTGTGTAAAATGTGATTTTTTTCAGAATTCTCTGATGAATGCTGAAAAAGTTCATATGAAAAATATTTAATTAAAATAGATTTTATTTACATAATTAAACCCCTTTAGGGTCACTTTTGATTCATTTAATGCATCCTTGCAGACTTAAAAAACAACAACAAAAAAAACAATTACTGACCCAAAACTTTTTGACTGGTAGCCTATGTGATTCTTTAAATATTCTTTTTGTGTGATGCACAGAAAAAAATAAACATGTCTAAAATGACATGAGGTTGAGTAAAGCATGACAATATTAATGATCCCTTTAACTTGAGTGTATTTGTGTTTAAGTGCGTGTGCATTACTGCAAAGCTTCTCATCCGAGCCATCGGGGCAGTCGTCATTGCCGTCGCACAGTTTCTCAGGAGGTAGGCAGATGGAGTCGTTGCTGGCACAAACATGGTGGGAGAGCTTGCACTCAAGAGCCTCGCAGTTTTCTTCATCCGAGTTATCCTCGCAATCGCTGTCCCTGTCACACACCCAGGCCTTGCTGATACAGCGAGCTAAAATATACACAAAGCAGCAATTAGACCCACAATTCACTTGCAAAAATGCTTAAATTTATCATTTTTAGTTGAATAAAAAAGGTGTTTATACCAGAAGAGGAAAGACAATCTCATTTTATTGGACAAAAATGGGTATATGCAAGATTTGTCATCAATATGTTTCATCTGTGTTCAAGCAGACTATACATATTAAATGCTTTAGGATTTTAAGGAAAGGAAATTTTAAGATTACACTTGCATAAAGATGCTGTTAAAGCTAACATACATGGACAAACTTTTGATTTTGGGCCTTTAAGAGTTGATTTATGTTAACATTTATTTATGATTGTGGCCGAAACATTTAAGATGGCCAAACGTGAACTAACCCGAGTCCTTGCAGGCAAACTTGACGGCAGGGTCGCACATATGTGTGACGCCCTCGCAGTTCTTCTCGTCGCTGAGGTCCATGCAGTCCGTGTCTCCATCACAGCGCCATCGCATAGGAATACACAAACCGTCCATTCGGCACTGGAACTCATCCGTGTGGCAACCGCCGGGAGGCCGCGTGGCTGCAGACAAAGGCAAAAATGGGACACACAATTACAATGCAGCCGTGTGAACACTCATACAAAGGCATGGACAGATATCTTATTATTTGATGGAAATGAGAGCTTGGCTTCCTGACGTCAAAAATCAGTTCCCAGGGATGGAGATTGTGACCAGTGTGAGGCACAACCACAATGAACTGATCCAAAGCAAACTTTCTCATGAACAGCGGTCCAGGGCTGGCACTGTGACGGCCATCATTAGGCATCAGACATAAAGGCTTTCCCTCATGGCAAAGGTTAGTGTCTGGCAGAGTCTGGAGTGGGGAGAACGGAAAACCAGGGCTCATCCATAAACAGAGAGAAGTGTGTCCTAGAACAGGGATCTGCTGGGGTGAACTGACCCGAATGACATCATACTGCTCGAGCTGCATGCATTCAGTGTCTCTCTCTTTCTTTCTCTCTCTCTCTCACACACACACACACACACTAGTTGATATCGATAGTAAACAGAGAGAAGTGTGTCCTAGAACAGGGATCTGCTGGGGTGAACTGACCCGAATGACATCATACTGCTCGAGCTGCATGCATTCAGTGTCTCTCTCTTTCTTTCTCTCTCTCTCTCTCTCTCTCTCACACACACACACACACACTAGTTGATATCGATACTAAAATCTGACTGGAATATTACAATTCTCTGCCAATTGTCCATATTTGAGCAAAAAGTAATATGCTACTTAACACACTCATCTATTAAAAAAATAATTGACAAATTAAAATAAAAATAAAAATCAATGAAGCCTTCAAATATCTTTTAAATACATTACATTTCTGACATTGGATTTTTTCCCCCTTTAATTTTCCTTCAATTTTACAAATTCAATAAAAGTACAGAAAAGTAAACAGTTCCATACTACTAATAACAATTTTATGTAGTAAAGGCAATAATAAATAAATCCCAATATTTATGGAAATACTTTAGCAAAAATGAATATGCTACTTTTATACACTCCTCTATTTAATATATAAATATATATATATATATATATATATATATATATATATATATATACACACACACACACACATACATACATACATACATATATATATATATATTAAATACATTCACAAATACACTATAACATATACTTAAACAGTTACATAGTGCTAATAATAAACAATTAACATAGTAGAGGCAGAAAATGAATAAATAATATTTTTGTAAATACTGTAGCAAAATTAATATACTGCTCAACACACATTTTTTAAATGTTACTATAAATATTGACAAATTTAGATCAATTGGCATGTTGCCTTTGAATATACTCAAACAGATAAACAGTGCAATTATGTAATCAATGCAGAAAATTAATAAATTCTAATAGCAAATTAATATGGTACTCAACAGTCCTCTATTTTTTTTAAATGTTAATATAAATGTTAACATTTATTAAAGCTAACAGCTTTTCAATTTTGCAGAAGAACTGGTATCGTTATATTCTTTACTTTTAAATTGACTTGGTACCAAAGTACCATTACTTTTAACATTCCTACTTCAAACTCATACTCAATGACTTTATGAAACAGCGCTCCTTCACAACTCATGCTAGGATGACCTCATTCAGTTCTACATCTTCACACAGGCACAAACACACTGCCAGGCTCCCATGAGGCCCAGCACTCTCATTAGGCCTCTGGCTTGGTTCTGCTGCATTGATTCTGCGAGTCTATTAAGCACCAGCATGCCGTAGGGATTAGAGAAGAGAAGGACAGAGCCTAGACCCCGAAAACAGAACCTAAACCTCTATTCCTGTTCCACGCAGGGCCCGGCCAACCATTGACCAATTAATAGCTACGAAGCCACATGAATGGGACTTGTGGAGAGGGAAAGAGATAAGAACAAAACTGCACATGTGGATACACCAGTAGCTCATGCGTCAAGCGTCCTGGCACATCTGTGCTTGTGTAATCCCTCTAGACAGCAGCTCTCAGAGCAGTCATTAACACTGCTCTCCACAGGGACTCTCACTCCCTGCACTCCTCGCAGACATTCTTCAAGATTTTGCGGTTTACATGTTTCACCACAGACCACAAAAAAAGAAAAAGTTGACAGCCCAGTTTGTGAAATCGTGATTTACTCCTGTTAATGAAGAGCTCAGCTGCATTAGTCATTGTGGTTTCGCTCAAAATCTACAACTAAAATAGCTTCAGAGAATAAACTGACAGTTTATAAAATACAAATAGGGTAAAAAAGATGACGACACTATTAAAAATATCATTTTGTCTTTTAAACAAATGATGAGTGAATGAAGGTGCTTCATCATGATAAATTAATCAACCTCAGGATGTCAAACTAAACATATAAAGTTGTTTTCTATGGGGCTTCACCAGTTATCACAATTTGGGACATCAAACTATTTTAATACAACAATTTTGTTTTTTTCTAACAATTAAAATGTTAAAAAGTACATTTAAACAAATTATAAAAATTAAAATAAATAAATAAAACAAACAAAACTGTTATTTTCTAACAATAAACATTATATTTATTTTTAGTAAACAAATCCAGTTTTATTTGTTTTCATATTTGTTAATTTTGTTACTCTTAATTTAACTATTAATTTACACAATTTATATAATTTAAAATACTTTAAAATAAAAATAAGTAACAAAATAAAACAAATAAATGACTGAAGTAATTTTTCCCAAAAACTGAATTAAACTATATGTTTGGAGTAAGACCTCTTTTCTTTTATCAAATAATGATACTTTTCAAACTCACCTTGATTGGTACAGTTGGCATGAGTCTCATCGCTGTAATCTCCACAGTCGTTGTCTCCATCACAAGTCCAGTACTCTGGAATACAGCGGCCGCTATTGCATTTAAATTGCACACTGGAGCACGAGTGACTGCAGCCGGCTTCATCACTGTTATCCCCACAGTCATTATCTGAAGATACACACACATGATGACAGTTACTGGACATTATAAGTCATCGTATCACACATACACTAATGTGTATATGGAATTAGAAACTCACCATTATCACAACGCCAGTTGACATTGATGCAGCGTCCATTGGCACAAGTGAACTGAGTGAGTGGGAAACAGGTGGGATATGCTGGAGAGAGAGACAAGAGAGAGAAGGAGATAAAGAAAAGGGTTCACAGCACGGCATGATGACAAAAGGAAAAGAGGCTTAAATTTAGATACCACAAGATGGTGGTTCATCTGAGCGATCGCCACAATCATCATCCAGGTCACAAGTCCAGGAGACAGGAATACAACGGCCACTGGCACATGGGTACTGATTAGAAGGACACGTGCGTGCTGGGAGAGAAAAGAAAACTTGGTCAATTCACAAAGCGCAAAAAAGTATTAGGACATTCATTGGGAAAAAAATGCTTAAAAATCGTATTAACATGCAATTAAGAAGTTCACAATACCCAAGCAGGTGCTGTTAGATTCGTCTTCATCATTCCCACAGTCATTGTCTCCATCACAAAGCCAGCGCAGTGGGATACAACGGTTATTCTGGCACTTAAAGCGGTCCGCGGGACAGGTGTGCTGGTCTGAAACAGGGCAAATAGGACCATTTAAATGTGCACTCAGTGATGTTTTGCTTCTTTTGATGGCTGATATAACAGTGTGATTTATACTGACACCTAGTGGTATGGATGTAGTAATCACACATTTGCTAAATCATAAAAATTCATAAAATCATATATATATATATAGTTAGTTCAAAAGTGTGGGGTCTTTTTATTTTGAAAGGCATTAATACTATTTAGCATTAATTTAGCAAGAACAAATTAAACTGACCAGAAATGAGAGTAAAGACATTTATATTACATTAGATTTCTATTTTGAATAATTGCAATTATTTTGAACTTGTCAAAAAAATATTAAGCATCACAACAGTTTTCAACATTGATAATATAAAGAACTGTTTTTGAGCACCAAATCAGCATATTAGAATTATTTCTGAAGGATCATGTGACACTGAAGACTGAAGTAACAGCTGCTGAAAATTGGCTTTGCATCACAGAAAAAAATTACATTTCAAAATATAATAAAATAGAAAAAGGTTACTTAAAATTGTAATAATATTTCACATTAATACAGTTTTTTTTACTGTATCTTTGATCAAATAAATGCAGCCTGGGTGAACATAAAGAGACTTTTGAATGTTGGTGTTGTTATTTGCATATCTGAAAATATGAGACAAAAGGACACTAACGGCACAACTCGGGGGCCTCATCGCTGTTGTCCAGACAGTCATTGTCCCCGTCACACTTCCAGCGGTCTTGAATACAGCGATTATTCTTACAGGCAAATTCTCCAGGCTGGCACTGAGGAGGAGGCACGTAGGAAGGGTTTGCTGGTGAGAAAAAATATATATTTTCAAACTCAAAATCCAAAACGGGCTATTTTACAATCCTCTGAGGTTATTGACAATAACATTTACACTTCAGGCTATTTAAAGCACAGAATACCCACCTTTACAGGTCTTGTTGTCAGTATCTAGTATCTGGTCGTCGGCACAGGCGCAGGAGCGTCCAGTGGGTGTCAGCAGACACAGACTGCTGCAGCCACCATTATTGGCACGGCACACGTTGGAGCCTGTGACTGCACACAACAAAAACATCCTTAGCAGATCCCAATAAAACACACAATAAAACCACTGAAACTCTGATCTCATTAGTTTGTTACCGCTAACACTGTATAAATAATGTGGCTGTTGAGACATGTTAACATACAAAACAACACAATTAAGTCTTTGTTTGATCTGTCAGCTCATGCTTTACATATGACTCATTAATGACTAATTTCCAAAAAGAAATGCTCAGGGTGTTCGGTACTTTGCTGTTGTTGTGCGTCATAGGTGCGAATCTCATAGATTGGTGGTCGTTCACTGCGTAGCAACGTGACCTTCTTGGTGTTCTGGTCCAGTTTGTAGATTCCTCCACTGCGGTACTCATTCCAGAACAGGAAGTTCTTATAGTGACACAGGCCAAAGGGATGGTTCAGCTCCTGTCCTTCAAATACCGTCTGGATGAACAGAAAAGTGTTTTTTAATAATAATAATAATAATAAGTTTAATTTATATAGCACCTTTCCCAAGCTCAAGGACACTGCACAATGACAGAAGTAAATACATTCCTACATACATGGACAAGACATTTTCCAAGTCCAGAACATGTGGTTGCAGTTGCATACCACAGTAATAATACAGTATCATAATAAAAAAAATAAAACATTTTAACTACCATTAAAATTAGTCTAAAATGCAAAATAATAAGCCTAATTAAATAGCGCAAACATAAAACAACATTTCAAAACGTATAAAGAAAAAGTTAAAATTACTGTATGCAGTACATGCACAGTTGGTGAAAATAAAAACATTAAATACAATTAGAAAATAAATATATGTGAAATTAAAATTTGTTTGCCTTAAACACTTGAGTTTTCTCACCCTGCGTTCTGTGGTGTTGAGAAGCACCATCTCGATGCGGTCGTAGTACGCATCCACCCAGTACAAGATTCCCTGCTGGATGTCCAGGCTGAGGCCATTGGGCCAGAGCACAGTTTTAGAAGTAAGCAGGATACCAGCATTTGAACCATCCATCCAGGCCTTCTTTATACTGCCCCGATTGGTCTCTTTAGGCTCCTCCTCCCAGTCACTCCAGTACATCATTCTGCAAACAGCACAGATTTATTAGGGCTGTGCAATTAATCGCATGCGTTTGTCATGCGCATCTCGTCAGTAAAGCCGGTTCCATGATTAGTAGTATATCTCCATCACCTGCTTTCAGATGGAGCGGCATTTACTACACAGAGCCGTAGTTCACTGACAATTAGGCAATATCGCGTTCATTATCGCAGGCGATTCAATCTGCGATAACGAACGCGATATTGCCTAATGTCTGTGTAGTAAATGCTGCTCCATCTGAAAACAGGTGATGGAGATTTACTACTAATCACAGAACCGGCTTTACTGACGAGATGCGCATGACAAATCGCATGCACTGCATGCAATTAATTGCACAGCCCTAAGATTTATGCATTCATTCAAAACTGTAGATTCAAGTAAACAACTAGTGCAGCTCTAACTGGTTTATCTGTATATACATGGTCACTAAAATCTATTCTAAATTATAAGTCTATTGTGACTTAAAATATATAAAATCACTAACGTTTCCTAACATTATAGTTGATAGGTTGCCAGTGTGTTTTTTTTAATTTTTTTTGACCGTTTCTTAAAATTTTGCAATCAAGCAAAAATAATTGATTTACCCATGAGAAGGGTCTACTACTATGGCTCTAGGATGGGTCATCTTTCCCTCGATAAGCGTTTTGCAGGTCTGAGAGGCTTTCTCCAGTTTGGCCACACTGATGGTCTTTTTGGGTCCATCATCAGTCCAATACAGGTTTTGCCCCATCCAGTCCACAGCGATACCTTCTACTGTATGAATACCTGTGGAATAGATAGACAAAATGAATGGGATGAAGAAGAGTGCGAGAGAGATATAGGAGTTGAATTATATACAATTAGTTGTATTATAAATGTATTAGTTATATAGGAGTTTAATTATATTTCTATGCTTTTTCCTATTTTACAGTGCTTAGTGGTGTGCCATTGGATTTTTTTAATTTGTAAAACGCCGCCACTGCACAATCATTATAGGCAGTTATACATACTGAAATTTGTTACAAATGGAAGTTAAAGACTGGTCATTAAATTTTTTTTTAAATAATAATAATCTGGTCACCCCTTACAAAAAATTAACCAATAAAGGTGTAGTAACCATCTCATTATTATGAATATAAATTTAAAGCGCATTTACCAAAATTCATCATGAAAGGTCTGTTGTAAAATATTGTAAAATACATGATTGATGTTTGTTTCAGCATTGGATACTGGTATATTTTTACTTATTATACACTTAATTCTCTGCTGCACTTTACGGTTTCTTTTTGCACACACAAGCAGGCATCTTAAAATTGGAACAACAACAACAACAAAACAAATAAATTAACATTAATTTTTCAAATAACTTTACAACTGAATAAAGTTAAATATTCACAATGAATTAATAGTTGTGTAGCCTACTGTAAACATGATCTCCCAAAAGCAGCGCTAGAGCAATAAATTGTTTACAAAGCATCAAATAATGATCCGCTTTACGCTAATGCACTCATGTGTACATAGATTTTTTAATGTCCGTATTACCATATCAAATATTTGTGTCTAATACCATTTTATTGGCATTTTATTGTGGATGTTTTCTCACAATCACAACAATATATGCAGTAAATAATTTATCAGACACTTATAGTTATGTTATGTTAATTCTATTTTTAAAATGTAACGTTCTGTAATAATCTATAAGCATATTTAACAATGGGTCGAAGACGAATAATAGCAAAGTGTTTATAAGCGATTTCGGTCTGGCCTGTAGATATAGTATGTTGTTCCATACGCCATCTGGTGGATATTCTGTGAAGCACAACACATTTATTTAAATTTCTTAAAGGCCACATCTGTATGTGTCAGAGCAGCGATTGGTGCACACATCCTAACGCCCCATTCACACGGGGCGTCGGTGTCAACGCCTCTCATTTACTTTGAATGGAGTGACGTCAAGCATTGCCGAACTGAATTGTGGGCCCGTTGCGTCGCGTTGGGTTCGTTGCTCGCGGCAGAAGTTGAAAGCTTTTCAACTTTTCAAGCACCAACGCAGGCATCAGCCATTCAGATCACCTTATGCAAATACCCTGGTTCAGATGCTAGCCAATCGCGATCATGCAACACCAGAAAACTAATTAGATTGGCTGTTGTCACTATGACGGTCGCGTCAGCACCAAGCTTCAAAAACGCCCTCCATCAAGCATCGACGCCGACGCCCCGTCTGAATGTACCGCAAGGCCACTCCAATGAGGGAGAACAGTTAGTTGGGACTACAGGAGGTCCACTACCGCACTGCAACATCCTGGTTGCTGGCATTGATCACTTTCCTGCCTATGAAGGGAATCCACACTTCTCTCCTGAAGTACTGCAGATGTGCCTGAAGGATCTGGAAGAGGAGAACCGTCAGCTTACACGTGACCTCAGAGAACACTCTGCCGCTCACTCTCCAAGACCACGGTCTCCATCTCAGCCAATTCATTCGCCCAGACATTCGATATGTAATATGGAGGAACAAGCCTCTACCTCAACATTATATCACAGAGTAACGTCTTCAAGAGATCAAAGAGATCCACGCTATGAAGGGGATAATTCAGTGAAATGAAGTGAGAATAAGTTATGCGCAGAACATCAATGTGACAGAATAGATGAGATCATCCATGAGCTTCAGAGGATGAAAGCGAGTTCCAAGACATCCAGATCAGCCTCGCCACCACCAGAGCGTGCAGCAACATCCCAGAGGGCCGAGCATACTGACGACCGCTACCAGCACCCAAGGCAGCCATCCACACACTATTACATCCTTCCCTCAAGGCGACAGCAACCATATGTGCCTTATTGTTCCTCACTGCCACCTAGTCAAGAGAACATCTACCGTGGTCCAACCCCTACTATTCCTGATTTCCCTAGAGAGGATCCACGTGCGTTTGCCCGGTTAAAGGACGATACTCAATTCAGAACTGACTCAAGTGGAGAGAGAATGAGTTCCTGCAGAGAACAGCGAAGAGCGCCGAAAGTCTGATACAAACCTACTGCCATCTTCCATGGAAGTGAGCAACAGCAAGTCTTCAAGGCGTAATTGGTTCAGTAAAGTGCAATTTCTGAGATAAGATCACAAGAGAAACCAAAGAAATACTGCCTCTTCTGCAACACAACTTAACATCATCTCAACCAATGTTCAAACTTTAAACTGCTGACCAAAGAGCAGATTGAGACCTGGATCAGATCAAATCAGAGATGCTGGAAATGTGGACATGATCATCAAGCAGGTCAGTGTACTCTTAAAGCAAAATGCAGGAAGTGTCAGAGGAGACACCTAGAAGTCCTGAATGAGGTCAACAACAGTGCTCATACTACCAAAGCAACAGAGGAGATCACCAAGTCTGCCAGCACCACAGTAGAAACTCTGTATATCAATCGTCCAACAGGCAGAAGTGTTACTGAAACTGTGCAGAGTCATCATACGCAACAGAGACATTTCACTGAATACATATGCCCTGCTAGATGATGGATCAGAACGCACCATACTTCTCGATGAGGCAGCTCAGCAACTCAGCCTTCATGGTAAGAACATCCATCTGTCCTGTGCCTAATGATCTGTTCAGTCAAGTGGAAAAGTTATGGCAGATGGACATCTTGCCCTATCGCAACAAAATGCTTGTGACAAGATCAAAGCAAGACACAGAAGCTATGAACATGTTGGAGGAGAAAACAATCAGGGTAGAGCTGAAAGGTGTGCAAAGATATGCTACCCCTCTCCTCTGGAAAACTAGCCCTCCACCTCTAGCTGCTCCAAAAAAAGCAGTACTGCCTCATTTGCGGCGGACTGAAAATCAGCTGTCCAAGAGCCCTGAGAAATCTCAAGTGTACAAGTCTGAGATAAGCAAAGGCCACATCTGTATGTGTCAGAGCAGCGATTGGTGCACACATCCTAACGCCCCATTCACACGGGGCGTCGGTGTCAACGCCTCTCATTTACTTTGAATGGAGTGACGTCAAGCATTGCCGAACTGAATTGTGGGCCCGTTGCGTCGCGTTGGGTTCGTTGCTCGCGGCAGAAGTTGAAAGCTTTTCAACTTTTCAAGCACCAACGCAGGCATCAGCCATTCAGATCACCTTATGCAAATACCCTGGTTCAGATGCTAGCCAATCGCGATCATGCAACACCAGAAAACTAATTAGATTGGCTGTTGTCACTATGACGGTCGCGTCAGCACCAAGCTTCAAAAACGCCCTCCATCAAGCATCGACGCCGACGCCCCGTCTGAATGTACCGCAAGGCCACTCCAATGAGGGAGAACAGTTAGTTGGGACTACAGGAGGTCCACTACCGCACTGCAACATCCTGGTTGCTGGCATTGATCACTTTCCTGCCTATGAAGGGAATCCACACTTCTCTCCTGAAGTACTGCAGATGTGCCTGAAGGATCTGGAAGAGGAGAACCGTCAGCTTACACGTGACCTCAGAGAACACTCTGCCGCTCACTCTCCAAGACCACGGTCTCCATCTCAGCCAATTCATTCGCCCAGACATTCGATATGTAATATGGAGGAACAAGCCTCTACCTCAACATTATATCACAGAGTAACGTCTTCAAGAGATCAAAGAGATCCACGCTATGAAGGGGATAATTCAGTGAAATGAAGTGAGAATAAGTTATGCGCAGAACATCAATGTGACAGAATAGATGAGATCATCCATGAGCTTCAGAGGATGAAAGCGAGTTCCAAGACATCCAGATCAGCCTCGCCACCACCAGAGCGTGCAGCAACATCCCAGAGGGCTGAGCATACTGACGACCGCTACCAGCACCCAAGGCAGCCATCCACACACTATTACATCCTTCCCTCAAGGCGACAGCAACCATATGTGCCTTATTGTTCCTCACTGCCACCTAGTCAAGAGAACATCTACCGTGGTCCAACCCCTACTATTCCTGATTTCCCTAGAGAGGATCCACGTGCGTTTGCCCGGTTAAAGGACGATACTCAATTCAGAACTGACTCAAGTGGAGAGAGAATGAGTTCCTGCAGAGAACAGCGAAGAGCGCCGAAAGTCTGATACAAACCTACTGCCATCTTCCATGGAAGTGAGCAACAGCAAGTCTTCAAGGCGTAATTGGTTCAGTAAAGTGCAATTTCTGAGATAAGATCACAAGAGAAACCAAAGAAATACTGCCTCTTCTGCAACACAACTTAACATCATCTCAACCAATGTTCAAACTTTAAACTGCTGACCAAAGAGCAGATTGAGACCTGGATCAGATCAAATCAGAGATGCTGGAAATGTGGACATGATCATCAAGCAGGTCAGTGTACTCTTAAAGCAAAATGCAGGAAGTGTCAGAGGAGACACCTAGAAGTCCTGAATGAGGTCAACAACAGTGCTCATACTACCAAAGCAACAGAGGAGATCACCAAGTCTGCCAGCACCACAGTAGAAACTCTGTATATCAATCGTCCAACAGGCAGAAGTGTTACTGAAACTGTGCAGAGTCATCATACGCAACAGAGACATTTCACTGAATACATATGCCCTGCTAGATGATGGATCAGAACGCACCATACTTCTCGATGAGGCAGCTCAGCAACTCAGCCTTCATGGTAAGAACATCCATCTGTCCTGTGCCTAATGATCTGTTCAGTCAAGTGGAAAAGTTATGGCAGATGGACATCTTGCCCTATCGCAACAAAATGCTTGTGACAAGATCAAAGCAAGACACAGAAGCTATGAACATGTTGGAGGAGAAAACAATCAGGGTAGAGCTGAAAGGTGTGCAAAGATATGC